CCCACAAAATCAGGAATGCCGGGAAAATAGCGGATTTAGATAAAAAAAAAAAGCTATAGGCAGCAGTGAGTTAATCGATCCTGCAGGATGCGAAAGGATAGTATAGGGCAAGTAAAAAAGAAGGGCTAAGCGTGGATCGAACACGCGACCTTAAGATTTGCAATCTCACGCTCTACCACTGAGCTACCAGCCCTATTGGTTGACAAAACTCAATTTGTTATAATACATAATATTGCATATATAGCACCGCAACTCTTTCGACATTTGGATACTTGAAGGTTGAGCACGAAGTGATGCTGCAGCGGTTAGGTCAGGGTAATAGTGCAACAGGAGAAAAAGTGGGTCGATATTCCCTCTATTTATATCTTCACCTCAATCATGAAAAGACTATCGACCTAAGATGAAGGTTTCTCTTTGGTAGAGTTATACAGTAGTAGTAGTAGTAGTAGTAGTAGTAGTAGTAGTAGTAGTAGTAGTATTAGTAGTAGTAGTAGTAGTATAAGCCCCTCCATATATCTGCATCCTCGAGGTGAGTCACTATTCTACCTCAACGACTTGAACCTTCCAACCTCTCACTCAGCCTTCTCTCCTCCCCACCTGTCAATTTCGACTTCCAGCGCACATTCCTCTCCTGCACCACCACCTGACAATCCTTCTTCGCGATACGTTGGATACAATAATTCTTGTAGTATTTCTGAAGAATACATCAAGTCTCGGGAGAAGATATTAGATTTCTTTAGACGCCACTGCCTAGGTATTTATTTATATGTCTATACTAAGACAAAGGTCCATTTAGGTGCCTCTTAGTACTAGATATTACTTATGGTCATATAGAACACTGTTCACACAGCTGCGGACTAGCCCGCCATAATTACTATTGACGGCTAGCACGCGCGACTGCGGATCTTGTGGGTACTTAGAAGGGAGGGCCCTTTAATAGTAACCCCTAACACCATAGAGACTGAGGCAGAGAAGCTATAAAAGAAGAAAGCCCACCAAAAGGAGATGACTTAAGGACCTATATTTCATTATTATATAATTAAATAATACTAAATGAAACTTACAGTGTGAAGTTTATATAATAAAGCTTAAAAATCCAGAGCCTATCTCCTGCTATTAGCCTATTACTTAGATGTATAACACTTTGTCCTATCATATAACCTATCCTATAAATTATCTTCCTCTATAGGTGTTACCTGTCCAGCAGGCTTTGCATACTATCTTTGTCAACAAATTAGCTATACCACAGGCTTCATAAGTCCGTGCAATGAATACTTGGACCTGACCGTCTCTAACAAAACAAACAGCAGCGGTATCCTACCTCCACGGCCATCAAGAACCCACTATTTAAGTTGTCTTCGAAGCCGAAGCATAATCTAGCTGGGGTATCTGCCTTAGACATAGGCCATCTGATGTACTAGGACCTCTAGAAGCAGTAAAGGTCAACTAAGCATCATTGTGGAGAGCAGCATCAGCAGGGTTGGCAGACACGGGCTCAGACGAGACAACAATGGGTTCGGAATTGACAGAAATGGGCGGGCAGCAGGAGCATTGCGGCATAGAGGATGCGCCTTAGACTCGGCCGCGGATTAAGCGATAATTGAGAATTGGGATAGCTTGCGTGTCCAGCCATTGCTGAAATAGATCGTAAAACGAATCTCGGATGCTTGAGTCTTCGGTATCGCAGCAAAAGGAAAGATGCCCTTTGTCCTTGTCAGTCGAGACAAGGGTAGTCTCTGAATAGATTTTGCGAAGATGTTCTGTGATATCAGAAACGATCGAGTCTTCGATAGGAACAGGCACAGTGAGCGTGATATGGATTCCGTCTTGTTCCTGTCCTGAGTCCATGCTTTCTCGTTAACAGGCAGCGCGCGAGCTATGCTTTTTATCTTTACCTCATCTCGTGGTACAGAAGCTTGAAGTAGTTTAGAGACTCGGAGTAATGAGCTAGAAAACAGCGGCAGGCATTAATATAATGCCTTTTTTCTTGGGCGACATCAGTGGCGTTCACGCCTGGTGCTTGGAAGACGTCAGTCTCCTGTCACTTCACCGAATACTGTGCAGCGAAAAGACCACGCTTGCCAGCTATTAGAGTATGAGGCAGCGTATTACTTGCTTTGGACCCTTTAGATTGTTGGAAACTGGTGCTGTAACCTGGGCGGAGTTTAAGCGAATACTACTTGCCGAGCAATTATTTCCTGGGGCATTTTTGATTATAGGCAAGGGTTCTACCTCTTAGGTGCGCTGCTCTCCTCTTTTCATTATACTTCATCAAGATTTGTGAGTATGCCCATCTACCGCGGATGGATTAAAGTTGTGAGATAATTCCCCCTTCTTGAATTCCATCAAGCTAGTCAACAAGTCTAAATAACTGTATATGCTCAATCATTCACTAGGTTTATAGTACACCTTTTTTGAAGCCTCATGCTGCTAAGGTGATTTTCTGTGCCTCCTGACGTAGTGTATTGCCGATGGCATGACCACAAGAATATCCCATCTCTATAGTGTATATGGGGGTATTTTTCTAAGGCAAGACAATCTGCAAGTACTTAGGACATGTTGACATATTCACAATCATTAGCCCATCCTTTATGCTGAATCCATGGTGTATTGATTCCGGAAATAAAACCTCTGGTGGTGGCAGCTCAAGCTTACAAGAGCCGTGTGAATTTGATGAGGGTACGCACGTTCTCGTCCTCAGCCAAGTGTAGCTCAGTACCTGTGAAGCTGCGTTGGTCATCATACGCACACTTGGATAGAAGTTAGAGGAAAATTCAAATCGCGAATAGGAAAGCCGCTTGAAGATTATTCATTTATGTGTCAGTCATGGCCATGCTTTTGCATGGGCCTCGGGATGGCGGCCTGGCAGTAATTGCATCATGATTCTATGAGATTATAATATCAATGACATAAGCTCTTCAGTGCCCTCTTGCTGGGCTTTTTTGCTTCTGGACTATTTGCACTGTTTATGGTGTGCCAAAGTGATCTAATTAACATCAAGTCATGATGCAAGTGTGCGCATTAAGTCCGCTGTGTGGCTTAACTGCATTATTTTTACATTAATGTCCTGAGGAGCAGCCTCTGCCCGCGTCATCATGTCTATTTGCTCTGGGTTCTTGATGATAACATGCGCAATCATGTACAGATATTGAGTTGCTTCCTTATATGCTTCCTTATATGCTTCCTTATTGGGTGCAACTTTGAAACTGGGGGCGCTGATATACTTGCTCCGCCATGATGGTGCTTCTAGTTAGGGTTCTTCCCAGCACCAATGGCTTTCTATATATCTGCTTAATGTTAGCGCTTGCCTTTGGGTAGGTGACKAGATTGTGCTGTTTTGTGCTGAGAGTGCTTCTTCTGATCTTCAGGCCCCTATACTACTTGGCATCAGGATCTCCTGAAGTTGCTGGAGGACTTCCATTTACCCTCTGGCAGTAGGGCTTCTAAATTCGCAACTAATGTACCTGGATCGCTGCATTCTGCTATGCCTTTCAATAGAACTTGATTTTCCTCGGAAAGCTTCAATCTGTCATCGTCGCCCTTTCCTTCATGACCTTTCTTATCTTTGGGATCATTGTCGGACAGGGACCGACAGGAAGTGCTCCAACAGTCATGCCACTAGGGACACTGGGAGGTACACCAGGCTGTGCAGCTCCCGAGTTGTTACTGGCAAAAACTCCAGATGGAATGCGTGGTCCCTCAGTACAGCACTTAAACCTTGGTAGCGGGTTTGTAAGGTATTTTTCTGTTGTATATAGAATTGAACTGATTTGATAGCTACTGTGCTGGTCATGCAAAAAGCCTTGGCGGAGCAGTTGTCGAAGCTTCCATGCGGACAAAATCAACCCACGAAAAGCCAAGAGAGTGAATTGTCCTATGATCCCACACATATGGAAGAATGAGTTGCTAAAACATCTGCATTTACTCTAAAGCCTATTCCTTCTGCACCAGTTGCAAGCTTGAATCCTGCATTGACGACATTCGAATATATATCCCCGCAGATAATAGGAACACTCCTCATATCGATGGGGGCCAGGAATATACTTCCATCTATCATGCACGCACTCATGATTCTCTCTGAGCTCCTGAATGATTCTCGCAACCAAAATATCTTGTGGTGTCTGAGAATAAGGAGATGCTACGCTAGGACGATCTGAGTAAGGTCAACCAGTTCTCATAAAGCGGCGAGTCACAGCGTCGAAAGGCCACGGTTTCTGGCGCAAAAGCCCCACACAACCGTGTCCTTTCCGTCGTCACCCAGACTTACTCTGTATATGGGGGTTCCGGCACCTCTACATAAACAAATCAAGGCTTAGGAGAATACTACCTTCGGCCAGCTGTTGACCCAGACCCGCCCATAACTTGAACGGATGCGCAGAGAATGATTTTGGATGGATTGCACACTCTCTTGCCGTGCGTCATTGAGGCGGGAATGTCGGGGCAAGTGCAGGGGCAGGTGCAGGTGCGGAAGCTCCGCTAGCGCCCCGACCCGCCAGTGATGACAGCCACAAGTTCATAACTCACTTGTACCTCCGCTGCAAAAATCTTGCCATATCAGATGGAAGTCTCCGGGTCGCATATTATAGCTATAACCCGATGTTGTCCCACGGGCTAACCCGCATGTACAGCGCTGATATATATATACCCCTAGCACTAGTGTCAGCTGTTCCTCGCATTCGGGAAATCGCGTCTCGATCAAGATTAGACTATGCGTATTCTGATGATTAAACCGATGTTGCCCACGGGCTAACCCGCACGTACAGTGCTGATAAATCTCCGTCCGCTTTGTCCAGAGAAACACAGAATGATGGCAGGGCAGGAAGCAGTATGGAAGGCAAGAGATTAAATGATATAAAAGCCCTCAACTACACCTATCGATTAGACCCGATCATCACCATTGCATATTCAGACCATCCCAAACAAAAGAAAAAGAAAAAGCGAACGAACAAACAAACACAAAACAAATAAATCCCTTCTCAACAGAAACAATTGAAACCACCATGTCCTCGCAACCCGTCCAACTACTATTCGGTGGTGCCTCCTTCGGCCCAAGCATGAGTTCCGAGTTCGCATCCATCGAGGCCACAAGGCACGCCTTGGATCTCCTTGGAGCCAGCGGCGTGAAAAGTATCGATACAGCCCGAGTCTACCCCGACAGTGAAGAATATCTGGGCCAGGCGGGTGCCGCCGCCCGCTTTTCGATTGATACAAAGTATCCCGGTGGCTTTGCGCCGACGGCGTCGAGTAAGGAGGGCCTTATCGCGAGTATAGAGGAGAGTTTGAAGGCTTTGAAGACGGAGCAGGTAAGCTACTACCCCCTTCCCCGATTGACAGCCTTACCAACCTGGTCAAGTAAGAAAGATGACTAACATGAAAATAATCAGGTCGACGTCTACTACATCCACGCGCCGGATCGACGCGTGCCACTGCAAGACCTGCTAGCCGGGATAGACATTGTCTACAGGGCTGGAAAATTCAAACGCCTTGGCCTCTCCAATTTCCTTGCCGACGAAGTCAAGGAAGTTATTCAGATTTGCAAGGAAAACAACTACGTTCTACCCAGCGTCTACCAGGGAAACTACAACGCCGTCGCGCGACACTCGGAATCAGCTCTCCTCCCTATTCTCCGGGAGCATAACATTGCCTACTACGCCTACTCGCCTATTGCCGGTGGATTCCTCACTAAAGATGTCCAGGATCTGGTGGCCGGCGGCTCGGGACGCTGGGATCCGAAGACTCCAACCGGAGGACTCTTCAACGCTCTTTACGCGAAACCTGCAATGCTAGAAGGTTTAAAGCTCTGGGGAGAGCTTGCGGCCGAGGCTGGGATTCCAAAAGCGGAGTTGGCGTATCGCTGGGTGGCCTATCATTCCGTTTTGAAGGGGGAGTTTGGGGATGGGCTTATTTTCGGGTCGAGGAATGAGAGGCAACTGCGGACCACCTTGGAGGGCCTGCGGAATGGGCCGTTGCCCCCGGATGTTGTTGAGAGGATTGAGAGGGTTTGGGAGATTGTCAAAGATGAGGCACCGGTCGATAACTTTAATCAGTAGGATAGAATTAGGCTGGGTGGGGCTGTGATTGTATTTTGTCTCTATGTAAATAGACTTGATTAGTGTTTATCTGTACATTTTTACTTTGGAGCTAATGGATCTGAGTTGATATTAAGAGGCAACCCTACCTTAGACGGCATCTTGAGCCAGATGCTTAGTGAAAGCCAAAAGCTTAGATTAACGGTAGTGGGAGAAGCTATTCAGATTCATCCTATGATGGGGCTTACAGCATAGCCAAGGACATAATTAAATCATGATATTATGGAAACAGCACCCTCACATACATTCCCTTCTCCAGCGCGCAAACACGGAAAATCACTTAACCACTTATAATACCACCAACACTCCCTTGCAAGGCTCAACTCCGTCGTATCTGACGCACTTAACACTGGTATCGCCGATGTAACAAAGGGAACACGACTTGCAGGCTTTTCACAGGCCGCCACCGCAGTGAAGCAAATCCAGAGGTACGCTTCTGGAGCGTGCTTCTTCCACGAAACCATGTCCAGCTTGCGGAGGATAGGGCGAAGCATTCTAATGGCCGTGTGGGAGATCGTCGTGCGGTCGCTGGCGACGGACGTACTCTCGGGGCACAGTGCGTTCTGCAAGATGGACCAGAATATGCGAATCGCTAGGTGGCAGCACTCATTTATAATTTGGCCTGTTTTGTTGGTAGGGGTGTTTTGCAATCCTGTCTCTGGGAAACCTTCTTCTCTGGCCCTATCCGTTATGGAAGCGGCGAGCAGGGTGTATAGTTCTAGAATCGAGGCGTGCTCGGCGATGATGATGAAATCGAGAACGCTATGTAGATCGGACGCAGTATCGCTAGTAAGCAGGCTATTCTGATTCTCTGCAACTCGTATTATAGCCCTCCGAAGTAGGTTAGATGGCAGACACTCAGACTTGAGTGTGAAACGGTTAATATGTGTTGAGCTGTTAACAGGCGGGATAAATGGTGGCTCTTGGTGCACAACCACTGAAAGTCCTAGCAAATTGCTAGACAAATATGTTAGTCTAGCCGAGTATAAAAGGGTGGGCTACGTACAGGTTCACCAGGGCAGTTAGGGCCTCGAACTCCGGGCCTTGATTCTGATTTTTGGCAAGCATCTGCAGCAGGCCGTCTCTATGTATCAGCGCCGAATCTGTATTATATCCACTCATCTACGTGATATTAGTAGCCATACGCATAGCAGTGCGCGTAGCACTTCCGTACATTATAAAAAGTCAGAGCAAGCGCTGAGCCCACCATCTCGTAGCTGGTTCGATTGCTATCCTTCAATTGCTCGCGCAGTAACTTTAAAGCGAGCGCCTGGTGGTATAATGTTTGAGGAGAGTGAGGTACACCCTGGATAGAGTCCCAGTGAGCCGATGCAGAAAACAGGACTGTTATGAATAAGCATGGGTCCGCGAAGGCTCGACTCATCCAAAAACTATGAAGATGTGTCGTGAGGCTGTTCTGCACTGTATAGAGCGGTGGAACAAAGCAAATCTCAGTATCTAGGTAGATTAGCGGGTTCATAGTTGGATCTGACAGAAATGACTACTGACAAAAGTAGATTAAGCTCGCAAAATAATGGCGTTCAGGTACGGGATACTTTGGTTTGAACTGCAGCCCAGAAAGCGCGAGCGGAGAGGCCGTCGCCCACTGCATTATTAATTGGCTCATATCAGAGCGCTCCGTGGCACTGTGGCTGGTAGTTGCGGTTCTATCTTGAAGCGGCAATGGTTGAGCTGGTTCCGTCTGGATAACCTGGTTGACGGAGGGAGCCTTTTTCAGTTCATAGTGGCACGAAATGTCGAGTCTGCCATCTAATCAGGACACGGTGATATTCGGGCAGGAGGGGAATTACCTCCCACATCGCGAACAAGTGGGCAGATCTCTACTACACGCTCGCTTTCCCACTCTGCATTTTTCACAGCTAACTGCGGACTTAAAGGATCGTAGACTGTTAACAAGGTGACTAGTCGGGTAGACTGAGGTTAGCATTTTCTTTTAACCTCCCTTTGTAATAGAGAGATGTGCTACATGCCCGCTGTTGAAGTTCAATAAATGATCCTCGAACGGGCCCTTGTATACGCAGTCCTGGTTTATTTTCAACCTGCTGTCGTCAATCAATTGCAGCCTCGTAAAATCTCAACGTAGCATACTGAGAGCACCTCCCACATTTCGGAAAAGCTCTATCGCATTTCCTCTTCTTCGCTGCGCAGGGAAGACACGCATTCGGCATTTGCGAAGCCATTCTAGAAAGACTTGAGGATGAAGTTCAGCTGGAGGAACTTCGCTAATAAAACATCGTAGGAATTAGTGATTCTTGGCCCTATTCGACGCAAGATGAGTAATCTAGAAATCAATTTGGAATGACTTTGGCTGGAAGTGGATTAATCTAGGCCATTGAGCGTGGTTGGTGGCGCATGGGGCTGTGCAGGTGCCGGCTTGTGATTGGAGTTGGCGCTGTACATAGGCGAGGGACAGAGGCTCTTTAAAGTCCTTGTCGCGCTCTCCCTGCTGGTAAGTTTCTTTCATCCTATATACCAAGTCCGCTAACTATAATTATAGCTAATATCACTTATCTTGTTAATACATGTATCCTCTACCTCTCTTTAGTTACTCTCCAGAAATTTCAAAAATTGGGTTCGCGCTTGGTAGTTTTAGAGTGTATACCTAGATGGCACGCCCCATCGTGTGCAGTATAAGCCTTGCATCACTGGAGTGTAACCGAGGCTCAGTTCTTGACACCTTTTCCCCAACTGATTGGGCCCGAGGTACTCTCCATCTTTGGCAGCGACCTGCACTCTGATGCTTAACGCATGTCACTTGTCGCAGGGCGTCAACTGGGGATGTGAGACTAGCTCTCAAATATTAGTTAGTGTCCATTAGGTCTAGTAGCACTAATATTAATCTAACATGAGCATATTTTAGTGCCCAGCACTGGTATGGGATAATACGTCTGATAATAGAGACCTGGGTAGTTATATTAAACCTCAGAATTCTCTGAACAACTCCCTGGAAAAGTAACCAGCCTGAATCTGTGCATGTTCCACCCTTGAATTTCAGTGTTCTAGGCTTATATATGGTATATTCTACTTTAAGGCTTTTGCAAAGGTGTCTGCATTATTAGTGGTTTCAGGTATCTGCTAGGTAAACAATTGGTGGCTCAGCTTTAACTAACAAAGAGAGATCAGTTTATTACCAAGTCTGGTCTGTCTTCTATCAACTCAAACAACAGAACCAGCTTATCATCACTCACCTCAGCACACTCTCTTCAGGACATCCTATTCACAGTCTAATAGTCTGAGCAGAGGTCTAAAGTACGCACACAAGACACTGTCCTTTTTTCTCTTTAGCAGAGACCATCCGGGCAATGGAACTTTTGCGGCTTGCGCACTGGAAGTAATCTGTTCAATGCCACTAGCACCATGGTGAATGACCCCATTCACAGAGATTGATATCGCGATGTCGCCTCACACCCTAGCGTCAATCCAGTTTATACAGAAGCTTGAATTTCGTTCACAGTCTATGCTATGATTGACCAAATCCGCCCTTCTACGTTGGTGCGTACATTGCGACTATCCCTAGGCAATAATAGCGGCCACTGTACCCGAAATATGCATTCGATATGTCATTCCAGCTTCCCCTTGAGGCATAATTAAACCAAGAATTGCATCATTCAGGTGCTCCTTCCTACCTATGTCATAGCTGGTCGCCCTCTCTGGTCACCGCTCAACTAGATCATGGTGCATGAAACATGCTCCTATGCCAGAATTCAGCGTATTCGCCCTCATTTTTGACATTTAGCTCTCCCTCCTGATTCGTGCAGAGCCAGCTCCCCTCACATTTAAACTTCAACCAACAGACGCCCTTAGCCGTGTCCTTCTGATACATGACAAGTGAATCATCGTGTGAACTGCCATGTGCCCACTTGACCCAGTGACTAGAGCGAGTCAGTAGAGCACCAGTATCAACATCCTGCATTGTCATCCCTCCAGGGAACCAGCTGATGTTGATCCTGACGGCGTGGCTCGTATTTGGTCGAGCGTACGCCCAATGTTCATCGCCCTCAGAAGTGAGGGAGCCAATTCCTCGGTTGCGGTGCTGACAGTTCAAATCAGGCTGAGTGTTGCCTTCTTGAATTCCCCCGAAATGCCACTCAGTTCGCTTGACTGAAATGAAACCGGACCGATTATCCTCATCACTCATCTTGACTGGTTGATGTTAGCTGTTATTGCATTTCAAGTCAATTAAAGATGGACATACTGTATGGTACATGTGATAGGGCTGTTGAGAATACCTTTCCTTGGGCGGGAGGAATAACTTAAGGGTGTTGGAGCGACGTTTGCGAGCGACTCATGGGGTCTATTTATGTTCAAGAGTGGGGTTCGTTAATGACGACAGGTGTTGCAAGATCAACAACCATGATCTCATTCATAGATATGATCATCAGAAGGGCCCGCAGCATACGGATCTACATATATGAACTATTTACACTGTCATATGCAACAGCGGAACCGACTCTACATAGTACTGGATCCTCCTTTCACTGAGGGCAGCCTTGCAAACTAGAGTCAAAACTATGGGAAGAGTCAGGATGATGAAGAGAAATCACTCTCGTAGACAAGGCCCGGTAGCTGATTAGGCCAGTCATTATGCACTGCATGTATAGTCCTGACTAATTCAGACACCCTGACCCTCCAAGATACAACTCCAGCAGACGCCGACTCTCCTCCAGCACATCGCAGCGAAAATTATGCTCCATAAACTCCGGCGGCGAGGAAGGGATCTTGCTCTCGGGCATATACTGCGCCGCGCGTTCCTTGACCTTCCACCCCTGGTCCTGTCCGGCATTGGAGAATATTGTTATTATAGACGCACGATTAACACGCACCTTTTCAAATAGCGCTAGACGATCCCGGATCTCGTCTTGCGTCGGGTGATCCGGCATGCGCGCGAAGATCTCTCCCAAGGCACCCCCGTCCTCGATCGCCTGGGCGCCGCCTTGGCCCTGGTCTGGAGAGGTCAGATACTTCAAGAGCACAATGGGGAATGACTTACGCGGAAGCATCGGGTGTGCGGCATCGCCTATCAGCACAAGGCGTCCGCGACTCCAGGTTGGGATGGGATCGCGGTAGAGAAGCGGCCATCGTTTGACGCTCGTTGCTTTTCTGTGCTTGGTTAGTATGTTAGTTTGGATGATCGTCAACAGACTTACTTGATAATTCTGAGAAGCGTTGGATGGTAGTCGTGGAACTGAGCGAGAACGTCGTTGACATCTGCGGACAAGTTCCAGTCTATCGACGGTCAGTTCCTGAAGACCGAATTGGACAGCTACGGATACTAACCTTCTTTTTGACCATCGCTGCTCTCATACAAATGAATACCCACAAAATTCTCAACTGTGTTACTGGTCCCCATGAGTTGATGCGTACAATACTCAATGCTTGAGGGCCTTACTCGGCGCACGAATACCAGACGAGTCGTCGCACACCTTCCGCAACGTATATCCTCATCAAACCATCCTCCAGAAGGTGCGCGGTCTCAGGATCTTGCTGAATATACTCCGTCGGAATCAGAAACCGGAATGCAGCGGAGCCTGTGGCGACGGCCGGGGTAGCATGGCCGATGACCTGGTGGATGGCGGTAGTATGCACACCATCCGCAGCAACAACAAGATCCGCTCGATGAATCGATCCATCAGCCAAAGTGACGGACCCGTTCTCAGCATCGAAGTCGACGACCTCAGATCGCAAGATGATCTCCACGGGGACTTCGGGCGCATCTGGTGTTGTCGCCAGGCGTCGCAGTTCCGAGTGCAAGTCGACCCGATGAGCCAGATACCAGGGTGCACCATATGTCTCAACAAAGTGGGAGCAGTCCACTCCGACGTTCGACGTAAGCGATGTTCCTGGTACTACCATCGTTCGAAGACCTGTCACCAGCCGAGCTCTCTTAGGATCGAAGCCCCAATGCAAGAGGATCCGAGAGGCGTTTGGCTGGACATGGATTGCGGCACCGACTTCACGAAGAAACGAGGAGCGTTCAAATATCTACCATGCTTAGTGTTTGCTCCGAATCAACCTGGGCTACCGGTATTCACCTGAACGTTGTGGCCGGCACGACGGAGTCCAATCGCAGCGGCCAGTCCAGCAATTCCCCCGCCAACTATGATGACCTTCATCTGTGAGTATTGAGACTGGGGATATGATTGATAAGCTACGTATGAAGTTAAGCATTTGATGGAGAGTTCAGTTTTCGGTTTGCAGAAATGGCGGGGTTAGGGTCGATGAATCACCAGTTCACCGACTGAACAAGGGGGAGACGCATATTTCATGCATCGAACCCTTGCCTGATAGCGAATCAAGATGAGATCATCCCTGCATATGCATCAAAGTGCGGGCATTAAGTACAACTACGCGGATAGCGGTGATACAAGAAGCTAAATTAAGAATCGAGATATGCTTTCAAGTGGATATGACATTGGCACAGACATCAGACAGACGAAATGGAAGAGCCCACGAGCCCACATAAACAACCAGTCAATGCAAACATAATTATACCCCAAGGGAAAACAAACTCGACTACTCTTCGTTCGTAAGCAAATCAACCAAAGCCTGGTTACCATGCTGCCGTGCCAGACTAGCTGCAGTCTCACCCGCATTGTTGACCAGCGCTGGATCAGCACCACGCGAGAGAAGAAAGACACCAACTTCCAGAAAACGATTGAAAGCCGCAGCCTTCATGAGGGGTGTCGTACCATCCACTGTCCTCTCATTGATAGTCCCCGGCGATCGAACAGCAATCCACTTCAGAAACTCCAGATCGGTAGCACACTCTGCCGCCGCATGCCAGGCCATCTCGCCAGAGGCGCCATGAACAAACGCAGCGAGTCAACCCCATCAGCCATCAAAAGCTCCGCCAGACGGGCGTCGCAGAATTTGCATAGCGCGTACACCGCGTCGTCAGACAATCTCCGCTGCTTGCTGGGGAGGTGTCGAACGCGGTCCCACAAATGTTGAAAGATCGACGCGTTCCAGATCGCGGCGAGAGAGAGGAAGGTGCCGTCTTCGCAGTCGTTGGTGGCGCCTATGCGCCCGCAAAGGCCCTCAGAAGAGGAAGTGTCGATGAGGTACAGCGAGATGCGTTCGGCTTTGGAGGCCAGAGCCAGGCCGAGGAGCTTCCAGCCGCTGCGGCTGTAGTGCTGTAGGCTGAGGCCGGCGTCGACTAGGCTCTTGAGGGTCCTGACGCGGTCGTACCTGATAATGTCAGCGATGGGGTCCGATGAGTGGTCGGTTAGTTTCTTGAAGGCTTTGGCGCTTGGGACGGTATAGATGTTGTTGTCAATGAAGCGTTTCTGCACAATGTCTTTGGCATGAGGCGCGAGCTCACCGTCTGACTCAATTATCTTCCATAGTTCTGGGGTCTCGAGGTACTTCAGACTGGCAGGGGAGATTTTGTACAGCTCTGATGACATTCTCAAGGTTCAAAACGGAATCACAGAACAGACTTTAGGGATGGAGATTGAATTGGATGGAGTAGAGGCAAGTTCGGTCACCTTGACAGGCATGAAGTTTTATAGGCGTCTCTATTCGTTGTCTTAGATATGGCATCATCTGTCTTGAGTATCATTGCCTCTGGGCATGAGACAGCTGCAGCATTGCGTCGGCACCGGCAACCTGCAACAGTCGTGAATTATAGCGGAATGCAATGCATTGTTTCACCCTCCTTTGTCTCCGACACATGATAGAAACAACAACGCATTGTACTCTAAGACTAGATGCACTCTGAAAGAGACACATCGAATCTCCGGTCTATTGGTCTATTGATCGACGGAAAATTCCGACTGCACCTCCTTCCTCATAAACGCCTCCCACAGCTTAATCACCTCCCCATCCAGCGTCCTCTGCTCATAAAGCGGCTCTTCCTTCCAACTAACATAGCCAAGGCTTTCATACCACTCCTGAATACTGAACGACGGCGGCGACACGCCCAGTCTCTCAAAAACACCCCGCCACTCCGGCCCTTCATCATACACATACCGTTTACTCTGCGCATTCAGCGTAATGAATCGGCAGCGCGGGCTACCATACGGCTCCATGACAGCCATCTCCTCAATCAAGCGCATCGCATGCCGCCCTAGCCCGTAGGAGCGATATTCAGGCAGGACGAAGAACGAGCTTATGGTCAGCACGGACTTGTCTGCGCGCGCGAGGTCGGGCTGCGGCGGGTCACAGTATGCGTCGAGGGCGATGTGGCCTGCGCGCATGCGAATGCTTTTGTCATCACTGGTGCTGGGTTCCGGGATGGTAATCCAGAAGAGGGCTTTGAGGTTTTCTTCTTGTTTTTGTTTCCATTTCTGGAGGGTCTGTGGGTCGGAGAACCAGCCGCAGATTGTGCGTTGTCTTTGTAGCTCGGCGAATTGTTCTTCGTCTTGTAGATTGACGGGTTCGAGGAGGCATTGGGTTGAGATGGATTCTGCTTTCATGTTTGCGATAGAGTATAGATTGGAATTAGAAGGATCCTGCGTCTTTGGATTTGTGACGTGCATGTGTCATGCCGGCTAGAGTCGGGAGACTTGTAGTCTTGGTGGCTAGTTTAGCCTCTACAGTCAGAAGACAGCCACTCAGCGAGCTGATACTGCATTAATGAGAATGAGCCAAGTGTGGCAGTGTTGAGTCTTGACCAATCAATGCTTAAGACAGTAGGTTGCATCAACTATTGCCAAGATTACTTAGCGATAGTTCAAGGGATACGGAGGCGTATAAAGGCAGCACCTCTACCACAGCGTTCTCACCTTCTTATCAAGCCAAGCGAACAAACCTGCTCTACTAAGTCTGCACTCTCGAAGCAATCAACGCGCGTCTTCAATTCCTATATCTCCTACCAACGCAACACTATATAGAACACAATGCATTTCACCAGCATCCTCATTACCATCCAGCTCAGCGCCACATTGCCTCCACCCAGGCCTCCGAGGAGGCAGATTGTAGGAGAGGACGGGAACAGGTAGATGCTGCCACCTAAGGTAAGAGGAACAAGAACGAAACAGCCGCTTCTTTCCCAGTGACCGAATTACATGCCATCCCCACCTCCCGTTTTGTATCTATCCTACACCCTTTAGTCCTCCTCCACAGCGATAACAGGCTGAGTCGCGCAGTGAATCACACCACCAGCTAGTGGAAGCGCATGCACATGCACAGGCCGTATCACTCGGCCAGGACATAGCTTCTGAAATGTTTCCACAGCCGCCCGATCTCTTACCTCATCACCAAACTGAGGTAAGATCAAGCCGCCATTGACAAAGTAAAAGTTCACGTAATTGGTCGCCGGTTCGTCGTAGGACAAATGCCCAACAAAAGTCGGGTCCGGCTCATCCACCGTATGGATCTCAAACGGACGGCCCTTCGCGTCCACTGAACGAGTGAGAATCTCCCTGATTTCCTCGTGAACGTCAAGCCACGGCTGAGGCACACTCGCATGGGGCCGCGAAAGAACAACAACACCCGGCCGGATAAAATTCACCTCAGCATCGACATGCACATCGGTGATATCGAGACCTTTCCGGCCAGGGAACCAGATGATTTTCTCAACCCCCAGCAAGCGTCGCAGCTCTGCTTCGATCTCGTCCCGCGAAAGGCCTGCGTTGCGATTGTCGTTGATGATGCTGCTTTCTGTAGCCAGGAGGGTACCCTCGCCGTCCACGGCTAATGCGCCGCCTTCCAGGCAGACTTTGGACTCGACGAGTGTCACAGGAGAGGGAGAGAGATCAGATTCTATGACTCTCCTGGCAAAGGTCGCGTTCTCGTCCAGTTGCTCAGCGTTCATGAGAGGCCAGTCCAGCCCATCCGCAGCACGATCAGTGCTCCCCATCTCTTCCCTCTTTCCCCACTCACGGAACCGAAAGTTGATGGCGAACCGGCGTGAGCGAGCATCTCCAGTGCCGTGCACATATACAGGCCCCGTATCCCGAACCCAGAGATGATTTGTGGGAAGTGGAATGAAGGAGATATTCGAGGTGTTGCCGCTATACTTTGGAATGACCTGGTTGACCATCGACTGCGCTTTTGGGAGATCTTCCGGTCGCGAGTATAACCGGACTGGCTCGAAGGCCGAGATTGCAGAGGCAAGACTGGCTATGTCGGTACATGCGCTGTCATAGTAGGCTGAAGCGATCGAGTGTTTGGATGGAAATCCCAAGATGGTCGCCAGATGACGGGAGGTTTCTGCGGGGTAGACGTATCTGCCAGCACTCTGTGCTACTGTCGATGCTGCCTTTGACATGGTTTGAGAGAAGCTCATATCTACACTATCGTACTCACTTTGTGTTGATCGTACAGGAGATTTACTTAACTGATCCTGACTCTGGCAGGGATGCGATGGGTATTAGTAGGTGACTCCTCGTATGACGGGTGGGGTAATTGGGGTAATCCAACCGGGAACTATGGCAATGCTCCTTATTGCCCGGATCGGGTAATAGAGGCGGCCAATCACGGCAGCTACTTTGAAACACAGTTAGGCTACCCCGAAGGGATGGATGCAACTGTTTTGGCCTATCTCAATAGATATATACAAATTCGTCGTTATTCCGGTCAGTCACATCCAGGAGTCCATTATTGCCCATTTCCTCCTGCATCCCCTCCTCATCGCCTCCCGCACCGTGATAGTGATCCTCCATCGAGCGATCCACCATCTTGGCCGGCTTCCCATTCCGCACTCGCTTCTTCTCCTGCAACTTGTTCAACAGGATCAGATCAGCCCACTGGATCAACACAACAGCGACCAGCGCCACGAAGATCCCCAGACAAGCTTGCAGACCGGGATGGTACGTCGGCGCATCCGCCGAGCTGAACAGAAGCGGTCCGACAATATTACCTGCTGCACTGGCTGCATTGTACAGACTCATAACGACCGACTTCTTCGTCATACCAGCTGTATTACCGACCATCCACGACACCACCAGCGGATTGCCGGCGAACAGGAACGAAAGCAGATAGTATCCCGCCATCAGCGCGCCCTGGACCGACCCGTTGCGCGGTAGGGCATGCAGCATCGCTAGCCCAGCAACGACTGGTACCATGAACGCCGCCAGGATCGCGCCCTTCAACCGGGCCTTTTGCGCTAGGTAACTGGCCAGTAGAATCACGATCCACTGCAACGCGCCGAACGGCATGTTCAGCAGGGTGGTGGTGTATTTGTCGAAACCGAGACCCTTGAGGATCAGCGGGCCAAAGACGTTGGTCACGCTCGCGCCGATGTTGAGGAGCATGGCCATCGCGATCCACAGGTATGTCTTTGGCTCGAGGCCGGCTTCGACGACGTGCGAGAGCTTGAACTCGCGGCTTCCGGCGCCGGTCTGGTTCGCTCGGAGTCGTTCCATCGCTTGCAGCTTCTCTTGTTCAGTCAGGAAGCGGGCCGAGACGATGTCGTTGTCTAGTTTCCAGTAGACGATTGGGGCGGTGATGATCGTGAGGAGACCGACGAAGAGGAAGATACTGATCTCGTTAGCATGCGAACTCAACACTCGGTGAAGTAGCTTACATTTGCCACTCCTTGAGCAGATCCGACTTGATATGTCCCAAGCCGTAGGACAGGGCGGCGGCCACTATCGTCGCCAACCCGTTGGTACTGTACCAGGCTGCGACACGGATCGGCTGCTCCGCACGACGATACCATTGACTTGTGATGATAGAAAACAGTGGCAAACACCCGGCCTCGAAAAGACCGAGGAAGAACCGCGTGGCCATCAAGCCTCCAAAGTTATGGCATGCCGCCATGCATGTCTGCGCAATCCCCCATCCGAGCACCAACGAAGGCATCAGAATCCGATGCGGTACTTTGACGATCAAGAACGAAGAGAATGGTTGCCAGGCCAGCTGAGCGATAGGGGCGATTGAACCAACAAGCGAGTACTGGTTGCCCGTGAGGTGAGTGTCGGCTTGAAGGCCAAATGTGGCGCCGTACCCGAGCACAGATTTATCGAGAATCTGAAGGAAGTATACCCAAACCAGAATAACGAGAATAACACGGTCAGTCTTGCGACAGATGCGTTTGCTGTCTTCTTCGGTGAGGGGAATTCGAACGGTGTGGATGGCGTCGAGGCCGGTGGGTTTGGCCATTTGGCCTTCATCGTGGAAGGAGGCTGGTTTGGAGGTCATGTTGTCCTGTATATGAGCACTAGAAGGCCAGGTGCCCGGCCGATGGGGAATTCTGGTCAACAGGAGAATCTGAACTCTTTATATCAAGAGGTATAGGCACCCCCACGCAGTGTCCTTGATTTCTCCACGGGTTTGAAGCTTTCGGCACTGAGTCTGGGTCATTCACATTCATGCGGTCCAAGCTTAGCCGGCTATTGAATGAGCTAATGGAGATTCGTGCCGATCTGCTCTTTAGTAGTAGTGTAGACTACTCCATCCGACCGATTCTCAGTCCCCCGGAAAAGTCCCCCGCATTCTCAGAGTTTGCCGTCTGCATGTTGCACCCCCACGCCTCCGCAAAGTCTGCCCCCACGGATGGCGCGGGCTGATGCTTTCTAAAGCTGTTCGGCCTATTCCCGATTTCACTATTACAGGGTCATTAACAATCATAGATGACAAGATGGAAGTGATGACATCAGACAATAGCTCTGTCTATGCCGTAGTGGAATCAGGCCTTGTTTCTGTTGGTTCAGTGAAGACTGGACCGGAACGTATACTAGCTGGTCTCTTCAAGATGTAGGTAATAGTATACAGGCAGGTTGCAGATATCAGACTTTCTATATGCTAATGTTCCTCGGTCTTATCTCTCGCATCTAAGTGCTCTGCTGCTTATTAGGATGCTCTGCTAAAGGAACACTTGGGATCATGATATCCACTCGCAACAAGTACCCCATTCACTCAAGAATAGGAACGGACTAGCAGGCTCATTCACTGCTCTTTAAAATGTCTTTAATTCCTTCATTTGGCACATCTCTTTGACAAGATGTCTTCGTCCAGTCTGTTTTATGCGATTCGAGAAATGAGCGCCTGAAATATGAGGCACCAACACGGGCCTCCATCTCGGACTGTGATTGGACAGTTAGCGATATTCGCACGGCACAAGAATTAAGGTTCGAAAAAATCTCGTCTTTTCCTGTTGCTGCTGTCCTCTGTCTTGATCGTCTCTTCCAGTCTGTTCACTTCATCAATCTCGAAGCAGAATTGCCACGACTGCCTTACAGTGAGATCAAAGCTTGTTCATTCGGTCAACCTGTCAAACAAGCCATGGATGCCGCTACGCCTATTGCAAAGTCCCACGGCCAAGAGGGCCAAGGGAGCCAAGAGAAACGACCCATGACCAATAATAATGCTGCAGAAGACGATGATGACCTGCAGCTGTTGAAACTGGGCTATCGATCCGAGTTGGCCCGCGCATGGGGTGCATTCGACAATTTTGCCTGCTCTTTCTCCGCGCTGTACTGCATCGGCGGTATTCGTGTGCTTTTCTACATTGCGCTGAGCGCCGGTGGACCAGCCGCTATGTATGTCTCCCATGCTATCTTCTTTCTCTGAATTCAGCTGACCGTAAGAAGGTGGAGCTCATGGGTTTCTGGAAGTATCGTGGCCATCATCACCGCTGCCACTCTGGCAGAGGCTTGCTCCACCTACCCTGCAGCAGGATCGATCTACTACTGGGCTTTCCGCTCGTGGGGCGGCGGCAAGCTCGGCCGGTTTGTGTCTTTCCTTGTTGCGGCTTGGACGCTGGTCGCTTGGACTTCGTTCCTAGCAACCGACTCGTTCGGAGTGGCCAATTATGTCATTTCGGAAGTGGTAGCCTTCAATCCAAACACGTCGATGCCATATGAAACATCGGATGTCAAGGCTCGCGCGATTGCCTGGGCTTTGTCGTTGCTGTTCCTGGCCCTGGCAACCTCGCTGAACTTCCTCCCGCCCCGCACCTATGCGTGGGTCTTCCGTGCAGGCTTCATCGTTATCATGATTGATATTCTCCTGAATGTTATCTGGCTGCCCATCGGAGTCTCCAAGACCTATGGCTTCCGGTCCGCGGAGTATGTCTTCACCTCCACATACAACGGGGGAGGTACAGCCCCCAGCCTGAACTGGGTTCTGTCGTGGTATCTGCCTGCCAGCTGTCTCGTCGGCCAGGATGCCTCTGGCCATGTCGCCGAAGAAACACTCACGGCTAGGAAATCCGCCGCCAAAGGAGTCTTCTGGTCAACCGTGGCCTCCGCCCTCTGTGGTTTCCCCATTATCATCCTCTTCCTGTTCTGCATGCCCCCGATCGAGAAATTCTACGACACCAGTGTACCACAGCCGTTTATCGGCATGTATGCCATGGCTCTGGGTCCCCATGCTCACGCTGTCGCAACCACGGTCGCAATAATCGGAGCGGTTCTAAACACATCCATCTCTCTTGTCGCCGTTTCCCGACTGGTCTTTGCCATCGCACGAGACTCCGTTTTCCCTTTCAGCAGTGCACTTTGCCGCGTGTCGAAGAGCAGGCAACCCCATAATGCGGTCATTTTTATCTCTATATGCGCCGCTCTCCTGCTCTGCACCCAGTTGCCTTCCCAAGTTGCCTTTTACAGCTTGACGTCTACCTCTGCTGCTGGCTCCATTGCGGCATATGGCTTGGTCGGCTTTGGCCGCGCCTTCATCACCCGCAAGTCCTTCCGACCAGGCTTCTGGGATCTGGGTCGAGCGGGAGTTCTTTGCGCTATCGTGACTTTTATCTGGAACAGTTTCGCCTTTTCGGTGCTCTGCGCTCCGCAATACGGTGATAGTGCTATCGACCGGGATGCAAGCTTGTTCAACTACTGCATTGTCATCATGGCTGGCATCACAGTCATTGCGCTCGAGGAGTGGTGGCGCAAGTCCCGGAACGACTGGTTTGGAAATCTCAAGGACGTCGACGACAGCTCGGATATTACGGAGGATGTTAGCTCGGCGGAGAATGGGGTCGCTTCTGCTTAGGCATCGGCGGTCGCATAACGAGCCTGCGCTGCAGACAGATAGGAGGAAAAGGGACAGGTAAGTGAGGACTTTTAGTATGTAGCATGACGGGTGTTCGAGGATTGCTTCGGCATGACTCGATCTGAGAAATACCGTTGAACTTGATCTGGATAATACCAGCGAAAGGACATGCTTCATACTCTTTCTTCTCCGTGGCATCTTGCCTTTTTGTTCTACTAACTCCAGCTGTAACGGACTGCACGTCAACGTGTTGTGCTCAACCCTTACCCTGTCAGATGCCATCATGGTGGATGACCGACAGGATGCCTGCCCAATGCGCCCGCGTTTAACGACATCGCATGCAGATGAATTCGCTCAGCGCCACAAGGATGCCGCACTGCCCACTACGTACAAGGCCGCTCATTCGGGACCTACATGCCATCCAGGACTGTGGTATCCTCTTGCATCTCACTCATCCTCGCCGCGGAATCCTCTCTCGCCACGTGAAGATCCAAAAGCCCTTCCGACGGCATCCACACGGGACTTCATTTGTAGACCGTCCATTGCCCTGCCCAGGATACGGCGGAGGAAGATCCAGGTCCAGGCCCGTATCGGTCACTGTAACAACCCCCTCCTCCCTCTGCCTCCTCCTCACATAACAGAAATACCATACCACCATCATGAGCAACCCAACCGCCACCGGCACCCCAACCCCAATACCCACCTTTTCCCTCGTAAGCAGATACCCCCTTGGCAACCTCAAAGAATCAGTCGGCACAGGAACGACCGTCGACTCCGCAGCCCGGAATCGTATCTGGATTGGCGTAGCTGTTACCGCGTACGCGGTTTCCCGCGTCGAAAGACCCGAGTCCACATATGTGATGATCTGCGGGTTATTCAACCGTCTCGTGCAGAGATGTTGGCCCACGCAGTCATAGTGTCTAGTCTACTTTATCAGCACCAATACACGTATTCCAATTGAAAGTAAACTCAGATGCTCACTCAGGACAACAGATATTCGTCGTCTCCTGCCGCTGTTTCGGTGTTGGAAGCGTACAGCCGTAGTATCCCGACGGACACATCCCGGGACTGTAGTAGACGTTTTCCCGCCACTTATCAGGACAGCAGTCGTCGCCGTAGGGTCCCTGGCAGCCGATTTCCAGCTGGGCCCACCAGGTGCGGTACAGCCTTGTGTGGATGTCGAAGCAGGAGGATGGCGGGATGAACGATGTAGTCAAGGGGCCGACGTTGGTCGCGGTTGTGTCGAGCGTGACGCGTGAGTCATAGCTTTGTACATCTTCCGGGCAGAGAACAAAGAGAATCAAGTAGAACAGTTTGTTTATTGAGCGCATAATGTGTTGTGCTTTGCTTGGTTGTTGTTTCGCCTCAATGGTTTTATATCCTGGAACTGCCTGCATCCTGTCTAGGCAAAGCCGCTCGTATTGGATCTGACAAGGCAGATTGACCTTGGGCACTGGGCGTCTAGATGATCAGGCCATAAGGGTATCATTGGCTCTCAAAGAATTCTGTCAAGGCTATTGTGGCAGTGCTACGACAAGCTGTGTAACGGGCTCGACAACTCGTATAGGGGCGTGGGATCGCCCGAGTCATTGCCTTGTTGCCATGACTATCGATCAATTCGGCAGGAGAAAGACACGAACTTGGTTCATGTGTTCGGAATTTAGGTTTATCTGGTTAGAGGAGCATTTGAGAAGGTCTAGCTCTCAGACAGAAAGGGTATTAATACGCTCGAACGAGTTGGACTTCGTGGGCGATAAGATCGTTTGCCCAAAGTGGACGGGGAAGTGCAGCTCTTGGACTTTGGGCTAAGGAAAACAGCATCGACGTGGCGGTATACCTGGACAAAACGCCATGGAAAGATTGCTTGAGCAACCCGAAGAGTATGTTCAGGTGGAGAATGGTATCTTGGTTCAGCACGTGGACAGGCAGCCGGCATCGCATGGATATCTATTGGGAAAACAGCACATGTTACATTGGCGAGTCGCACTGCCAGAAGATATAGCTTATTGAATTGAACAAGGAAATTGCTGAAGATGCTTCAGCCCTTCCTCCATGATCCTGGAATTTTCCCATACTGCTCGATCATGTGGGGCGGCCGCGCGTAGAAGTTATACCACCAGTCATACTCATTCAGAAGGTTGTAATAACGCATATAGTCATCCACGCTCATGTAGGTCCAGCCAACATCCTCATAGAGTGGATGCACAGCATAGTTTCGTTCATGGGGTTTCAGGGGGCCCCACTGTCCCCAGAGTAACTTCACCACCCCAGGATCCCTCATCTAATCCAATGACTCCATGCAAATGTCATCCACAAAAAGGCAAAAGTTGTACCGCGTACCCAAAGTCCATTCTCGACGGAGGCTGGTCGAGCTAAATTCTTCGCCTACGAAGAACTCTGGTCATGATACCACATGTGGCAATTCTTCAGCTACCCAAGCGACGAAATGATCCCGGATATCATGCGAAGTTGCTGCGTCTAAACACTTCTTATCATCCACTATAAACGGCTTGTAACGCGAATACAGGTCCATCCCTTTATTAAACTCCAGCTTCATCAATAAGGTTCAGCATGCGCTGCCACGTCTTATTATTACTGTAATCACAGCGGTAGATGTTGAAGCCCCAGGGACATTCGGTTTCCTCGAAAAGTGAAAGATAGAAATCTAGCAATGCTATGTCACTTGGTCGAGGCTAGGAGTTCATCCTCTGAGTAGAGAACCTAGGCATTTCCAAGCAGCAGAAGCGGTGTTTGGTTGAATGTGGGCCAAATAGCAAGCCCAGTGATCTTGAGGTGGCTCTGCTGCCGACGGAGCAAAACTTCCCAATTGCGCATTTCCTTTCTTGTTTTACTTTAAATCGGAAGGATGGCTGAGACGGAAAAGAAGGCTGCACCTAAGACATTTAGAGGACGAAGCTACGCGCAAGGCGCTTGCCTCTTTAGGCTTAAACCCGTCAGGATAAGAATAGAGTGAAACAGCTAGTGTAGCGAGATTCGTAGATAGCACCAAGACAACTAACATCAATCTGCCTTAGTACTTACTGGTTCTTGAGGTCGAAATTTGAGTTATACAGACCGAATCTAGAAGCAATGGAAGCTGCACAACTTGAATTTCATGGCTATGAGCGAGACAGAAAGACAGTCCTGTAAATTGCCTTATCTTCCTTCGAACTTGGCGGTGATATTAATATCGGTCTATCGATGCCGCCTAATTGCGGCCTACTCATATGCACGTATTGCACCCCGACATATGTCTTCCTCTTTATCGACTCCTGGTCCAAAAATCCCATAGTTGACAAAATGCACAGCCATGTTGCTCAGGAACTCCACTCGCGCTCAGTAAGAAGCTTTATAAGAGACATATAACAGAAGTTACTGATGTACTATGTTAAGCTTAGGCTACCTTGACTATATAGCCACTTGATATATCTCATTTTACGTTTGACTTTAACTGCAATCAGCAAAGGGGAGCTGACGCATAATCATCTATGATATGGGCATGCCAATTTTGTCCTTTAACCGAGAAACTTCTAGACTCCATCACTGGCAGCTAGCTGGACTTGCGTCGGTGATTTGTATACGTCTACTACCAACCAGAAGGGGCCAAGCCAACGGCAGCACTTCGATATGCATATCTGAACATGAAATAATACCCGTTTCATGATTCGTCGTCCTTGTCGATCATTTCTCTTCTTCTGTTCCCCATCTTCGCGGGATGCCTCAGGATAGCGGGTCCCATATACGCGGCGCCAAGACCGCACATTACGTCTCTTCAGTGGGCTTCACCAAAGGAAGCTATCACCAAGCATCGTGAATCAATGGCTGATCGTGGATTACGCAGCTTCAGGTCTAAGCCAGTTGCTGTCGGCGACATATGCCTCTATTGCGTGGCCATGGGCTCATCCAGTCTGGAGTTGATGACGCGGCTTGGGCTGGTCTATCTCAGGACGATAGCAGTCAAAGTAGTATAAAAGGCTGGACATGGCGGCATCAGGATAAATGAGCAGACAAGGTTTCTTTACAGTTTTACCGTCCCATATCAAAAGAATATGCACTTTTCCAAGCTTTTCCTCGTCGCGGCTGCCACGCTTGCGGCCGCTCACCCCGGCGAAGTCCACGATGCTCACGCCGTGAAGCGGGAGATTCGTGCTCGCGATGCGTACGCCGCTGCAGCCAAGCGTGCACTAGATGCTTGTGCTAGCACCACTGAGGCCCAGCAACTGAAGCAGCGCAATGTCGCTCGTCGGGCCCGCACTGCCCGCCAGCTGCGAGAGAGCAAAGGGATTACGGCTAGTAAGTGACCTCGTGTATTTCGTCATGGTCTCGCTGACGATTAAGATGCTCGCAAGTGGCGTCGCGATCTGGCCGCTCTCGAGAAGTGGGAAGCCATCAACCACAACAAGACCGGTGTCCACGACTACTCCTCCAACACGGCCGAATCAGTTATTTTCGGCGGCAACACCAGCGCCATCCTGACCCCTACCATTACTGACGGACCATACTATGTCTGGGGAGAGATCCTACGCCAGAACGTCAAGGAGGAGAAGTACTGCGACGGTGTCGACGTCACCCTTGAGGTGCAGTACATCGACGTCAACACTTGCCGGCCAGTGAAGGGCGCTGTGGTGGATATCTGGAACGCCAATGCTACCGGTGTCTACAGGTATGAATGACTCCATCGACCAGAAGATGGGCCCTGCTGACCTGACAGTGGCATCTCTACCACCGGCAACTACGCTGCTGACGGCTGGGACTCCACCTACCTCCGTGGTATCCAGCAGACCGACGACGACGGTGTGGTTACCTTCGACACCATCTTCCCCGGCCACTACGACGGACGTGCCACGCACACTCACCTCCTTACACATCTCAATGCCACGATGAACGCCAATGGCACTCTGGAAGTCGGCACCGGCAGCATCGCCCACATCGGCCAGCTCTTCTGGAACGAGGTCCTTCGCTCTGCTGTCGAGGATACCTCCCCTTACAACACCAACACGCAGGCCATCACCACCAACGCGGACGACATGTGGAGTGTTCTGCAGGCATCGGATGAGTACGACCCCTTCCCCGAGTACCTGTACCTGGGTGATGCGTTGGAGGATGGTCTCTTCGCGTGGATCCAGATCGGTATCAATGCCTCGGCCGACTACACCGACAACTCGTACTACAGCATTGCTGCGTACTATGAGGAGGACGGTGGACACCAGAACACCGCCAGCTCGGCCTTTGGTGGCTCTGGCAGTGCTACGAACGGTACCATGCCTTCGGGAGCTGTTTCTTCTAGTGCCGCTGCTTCTTCCAGTGCATAAGGATTGGTCGTGAAAATACATGTGACCTGAATACAAGCCGTGTGGGATAGATGGTAGATCGGATAGAGTATACCGACATATATGTATGTTTCTTGTATGCTAGAGATGAGAATTTGAACATGTGCTCTGCCAGACTGTAACCTGCAAACCAATCATGGACTGTGACTATTTCGGAGGCCACTGAACATCCTTCCAAGGCCTTCCGTTGGTCGACCTAGCCAGATCCTCCATAGTCTTCCACTTCCAGGTCTTCTCGCGCTGATTGACCAAGTCATTATCACTCCCCAGCCCCGACGAAGTATGATTAATCTTATTCTCCCCCATCAGGAAACGCAAATACCTCGCAGGATCGTTCGAGACTTTCCCCGTCGTTTCCTGCTTATACTTCGTCAGATCGACCTCCGTGATCTCAATAGACCCCGCCCCTGCACCCTCCATGATCTTCGCAATCTCTTCAATTGATCGCGTATCTCCTCCAATGTGCACCACATCCGGAATACTCATCAACGGCATCGCCGCCAAAGACGCCACCGCCCTCCCTACATCCTCCAGCCCAGTAAACGACACCAACGACTTCGCACTCCCCACACTCTCATACTTGCCCCGTACGGTATCAAACCCAAACCACGGCCCGATACTATCCTCCAGAAACAACCCACAGAATACCCGACACACCTTCACCTGCGGGATGAGCCGTCCCGCAAGTTCAAAATGCCTCTTCTTCTGATCCCACTCTCCATGCGGGAAGTCATGAACATAATGGTCCACCCCGAACTCGGAGGGAAAGTAGACCTGGACTCCGGTTGAGGGTAACGCGCGGAGGAGCTTCTCCTTGAAGGCGTGGCCGGATGCGCCAACTGTATTGACAAGCACGTCAACGCCTTCCAGGGCCGCGGGAAGATTGTTCTCGTCGTACTTGCGGACTGTCATCGTTGCGCCCATATCTTTTGGGGCTGAAGGGACGGGTGGGTTGTCATGTCTGGATAAGAGGATTATCTCTGAGAAGTAGGCATGGAAGGGGGGAGACAGGAAGGCTGAGGCGACGTGTTTGCCGAGGTGCCCTGTGGCGCCTGCAATGGCTACCACGGGGCGGTTGGTGATGGGGGGTGTTGATGGCATGAGTTGATCTGCTTTTCGGGAACTTCTGGATATACTAGATGAGAGCCCTTGGTATCGATTGATATCTCGGTTGCAGTCCTTATGTCTTATACTTCGTCGGCATGACATGATAAGATGGCTTACGTCATTACATGGTACCCACATTTTTCAAACATTACAAACGGCGCAAATGGATCTGATCCAATGAGAACTTTCAATTGTTCTTGTTTGCTGTAGGCACAAACAGAACAAACTGCTGATATTAGCAGATTACCAAGAATGCCTGGGTTCGACGGAATGCTTCCGTCGTATACCCGTATATCCGTCTGCGGGGAATAGCTGGGATCGACCATCAAAACCATACAGCTTTCTGAGTCCCTCCAACAGAATAACGAATCAGATGGAATTATCTGCTAGGGGCCGGAGTTCCTAGTACTCGTACATGCCGAGTTCAAGTGCCGAAGGCTTGCCTTGATCAAGCTGTTTAGAACTCGAGATACTAGACCACGAGGCTGATGAGTACTTAGCTGGACACCTTTTTAGTCTAGGGTATTAGGATGTTGATACAGGCTTCCTCGAGGAGCTTTCAAGTGTCCTCATATGGTTTATAGCTATTGATTGTCTACTTAGAGAGCTGTTCAGCCTGCATACGATTGACTACCACAAAATGACTGGCTTGATCGTCTCCCCGGACTGCATATCACGGATCGCCTGCTCAAAGTCCTCCGCCTTGTAGAATTTGACAATCTTTTGCAGAGGCAGGCTTCCGTCTCGCACCCATTTGACCATCTTGGGCACATACTCCTTTGGGTTGACGTCTCCCTCTACCACACCCATATACTGCTTCCCTGCTGCCATGAACTGGTGAATCGGGATAGTCAACGTCGCCGTCTCCGGCGCTGTCCCAACCTGCAGAATCTTCCCCTTAAATGAAGCCATCCTGACACCTTGGGCAATCAGTGCAGGTACACCAGTCGTGTCCAGCACGATGTTAACACCCAGGTTGTTCGTGGCGGCCAGAACAGCATCTGATACACTCTGCGGGTCCGCCGTCGTATCAACCTGCACGACATGTGTAGCACCTAGTTCCTTCGCCAGCTCCAGCCGGGAAGCATGTCGCTCAATACCGATGATCTGCGCACAGCCGGCAATCTTCGCGCCCATAACAGCACTCAACCCGACGCCTCCGAGACCCAAGACAGCCACCCGGTCCTTCGGAGTAGCATTTGCAGCATTGAGAATCGCCCCGCTCCCGGTTTGAATCCCACAGCCCAGAGGCGACAGCAACTGCAGCTCCGACCTGGTCTCGACCACACTGCGAACATTAACCACGGAATCTTCGCGGACGATCGAGTAACTTGCAAAACTCGACTGCCCGAAGAATCGTCCGTAGATGCTCGGTTCCGTCGATGTGGATGCCGATTCCAATGCCTCCTCGTTAAAGACAAAGTTATCAGGCTCCACCTCGAAGTTTATCGCGTTGAAGTTGGCACAATGCGCGGGGTGGCCTGTCTCGCATGGCTCGCAGGTCTTGCACGCGGAGAAGGAGAGGATCACTGGGTCGCCCGCTTGGGCGACGTGTGTTCCTGGGCCTACTTCTCGGACGTATCCGGCGCCTGTTGTTCACTTAGCTGGTGTAGATACTTGTGTTAGGAGAGATGGTATACCTTCATGACCCATGATCCGAGGATAGTGCACGCCGAATCCACTCTCTGCGCCTGCAAAATGCAGGTCCGTCTGGCATATTCCCGATGCGACGATCTCAACTAGGAGTTCTTTTTCTTTCAAGGGACGGAGAGTGATGTCCTTGAGCTTCCATCCTCCTGTCTTGTAGGAGCCGTAGGAGACGATACCTCGTTTGCGGGGTGTGGGTTGATTGCTTGTCATTTTGCTCTGATACTAGAACGGGATAGTAATACCGCTGTTCTTTCCTAGGTTCGCAATACGGAGTACTTAAACCCCAGATTTTGATGGAGATGCGGAGATTCCCCGCCCCCATCCCGACTCCGACTGCCGACGCTGATCGAGGGGATCCACCCACCGTCTATCGCGGGGTATGATTTATCTCATATACGGTGCAAGACAAGTCGATGATTAATTCATGTTCAATATTAATACTGCGTGCCATGATATTAAAGCCTATCGGGTGAAGGCTTGGCCTTCATCCGTCGATTTGGGTCGAGCCCCAGCTAAATTTAACATCGACTACTGCAAGGTTTGGCCGGCAGTGCTGGCCCTAGATGTTGATTTGCAAAGAGTGGTCTATATAAACACTTCAATCTCCAGTTGCCTTTGGGATCCTCAGAAACATCTCAACACTGCACTCTTCCTTTTATTATGTCCAACCTTTCCTTGGAACCCGAACCTGTCCGTGTCCTTTTATTTTCGTCTCCTGAGAGCTTTGTCAAACAAGATGCCCAAGGTCCTGAAGCAATTTGAAGACGCGATTTCAAGGGAGGGCTTTAGAAAAAACCATTCCAGAAACAAACCCCGGGCAAACGCATTGCACCAGCGCAGATAAAGGATAATGATTCCATTTACCAACTCCGCCTAGACGCTGGCTAGTCCAAAGACGGGAAAAAGAATTTCCATTTGCAAGTCAACTCACAGGCAAAAAAACGATGCTCTTGCAGCTTTCAGCAAGAGAAATGGAACCCATGCAAACTTGGCTTCCGGCTCCATCAATGAAAAAACCCCCGTTGAGTCGCAGGAGGAAGCTGCGCGGAAGTTCTGGGAGGATATGCGACGGCATATCACCACAGGAAACATCTGCCGCTTCTAGGTTAGGTTATAAGACGTAAATAGTATACTACTCGGCATAATTAGCGCCTATACCAGCGCAGATAATCTACTACGCTTACATATAGACACGACAATTCGATCCATGGTATTGATGGATCTTCCCTCGGAAACTACTATCAGGCATTTCACATCTGCAGTGAACGACACAATGCGCGATCTATCACATTCCCGCCTTCACCTTATCCCCTCCACAGGTACGTCTCTGATCAAAGCTATCTCCAGACAGAACCAACAAGCATGCCCAACTCGTGGATTGATTCGGCGTCTTCAGGCTTGATAAGGTCTAGTCAAAAGAACGACTGTCATTTCCCATGCCACCTCAAAGCGTTATCAAGTCGACTAGCAGTAAGAAAAAGCAATCTTGGGCGGACGACGATACTCGGTCGCCCAACCCCCTCCACGCAAGTAATACCAAGGATAAACCATCACACCATCGAACGGGACCTTTATCCACCCCACGTTTTCCAAAGTACACCCTTCAATCGCCTCTTCCTCGTCCTCAATCCTTTCCCCGTGATCGTACGGCTCATACTCCTCCCAGTCCCTTCGGATAAGTCGCACAAACCCCCCTTCCTCTTCATCGGTGAGAACAGAGTCCATGACATCCTGCGTAATCTGCAGACAGTACCGGTATCGTTGCGACAACTGCACCCTTGGGCTAGGAGTATCCGGTTCCTCTTGCTCTGCGGCCGCCACCCACTGCTGAAAATGCTTTCGAATCACAGCCGTAGTAGCCCCGTCCAAGCTTCCCGAGTCTTCAATCACGGTCAGGGTTAGATTATCAAGTAAATCAAGGCCACAACAACCTTCCAGCGTGTCCTTGGTATTGGCGAGTAGCCGACGCATAAACTCGACCCAGGCTGTGTTGCTCTGGTAGGTACACCGGTAAATAACAAAGCCCCAGGCACGAAGGCCGTCTTCGTGCAGATCCCGCTCGATGCGGTCGGCCATGTTGAGCCAGGAGCAAATGTGCGGGAGGCGTGGAGACAGTCTCTGCAAGGGGGGGGATTGAGCCGGTGGCCGAGTGTGTCTTTCCATTTGGCTCAGGCAGATAGGCGAGGTTGTTGCTGGTGGGATGGAGGAGAAGGCCTGGTGGGGGATATCTCGATACCATTTTCTTTGTCTGGCTCCGAACATGCGAGTCGCGTTCAAGAAATTGAGCGGCATAGGAGTGGGACTGAGAAATAACAGCCTAGGTATACCCCTGGCCGGAAGACTCATTGTATGCTTCCATGGATGCTATACGTGAGAAGGGGGTTATTGTGGTGTCTGCCGTGATGTACTGCTGGGAAATGAGGCCAGCCTCCAGAAAGGGACACAAACTCAACTTCGACACACGCTAGGTCCAGCATGTGTTAGTCACTTTCTGTCATAGATTACCTCTCTACTAAGGTATCATCACCACCCTAATTTCCTCTCTGACCGCGAACACCAAAGGTTTAGTATAGCATCAAATTTGAATTGCATACCTACCCTAAGTTCCTAACCGCCCGTTATTATCTATAAATCCATGCTTATTATATGCGTAATATTAAGGAAGAATAGTAAATTTCAATTTCTTTTAATTAATTTCTTTATATAATATTTTATTTTATCATGTATATACTCTATAGTAAGGTTACTATAGTAGAGTGGAGATACATATATTCATACTTGTTTGGCCTTACCTATCTATATTCTCTTCCTTTACTTACACTCTGCATATGCATAATATTAGAATACCTTAGAATTTATTAATAATCTATTAATATTATATATATAATAAGCATAAATTTAACCCTGAATAACATAACTATCGAGAAATCGAATGCTGATGAGTAAGCATTGACACATCAATCACATGACTTCATCGTCATCATCATCACAACGCGTCCTTACTGCCTCATCATTTCCCAATGTTGGAAGGTACAATTGATGCTGGCCAAATGGGCTCTTAGGCGCGCTCAGCGCAGTCTGCCGCGGATTAGCACTGCCAGGACAGTCAGACCCTCGACCTATTCTCTGGACCCTCGATCCCTTCCCACCATCCGCGCCACATCAGGGAAAAGACCACAGCATGTAGCTCCATTGCAGCGCCGTGGCCTATTTACATCCGCCATTCCACCTGTCCTCATCCCGCCTGTAATCTTTCTTACTCTGCTGCTGGGCCTGTGGACATGGAAATGTTTCTGGATCGTCGTGATGCAGGATAAGCTCTTGTACATCTCGTGGCTACCGCCGTTCGCCCGCTCGGAGCAGATATCAGACTACGCAGGCGAATGCAAGCCCGTCCGGTGGGAAGAGAAACGCATTCGAAGTTTGGACGGGACCAAGTTGGCTGTATGCGAAGGGCGGATGCCAGCTACCGCTCGCAGCGTGACCCAGAAGCCCCATGCGCAGGGGCATGAGCCGGCACGGAAGAAGCTAGTGGTGATATGCTACTTCCAAGGAAACGGCGGGTCGACTCCTATGCGTCTACCGCTGTTGTCGCAGTTCCTGCGGGCTATCGACTCGCCAACCGGGGACGTGGACTATGTCGTCGTCGCCTTGTCGTACCGAGGGTACTGGAAGTCTTCTGGCCGTGCGAGCCAGATAGGGATCGAGCTCGACGCGGTCGCGTTTCTGCAGTGGGTAGCGGAAACGTATGGCGCACCTGACAGGGATGTGCGGATGGTGCTTTGGGGTCACAGTCTGGGCACGGCAATTGCGAGCTCTGCCGCGGCGACGTACCTGTCTCGGCAGTCGACAACGAGCAATTCCCAGGTAGTTCCCATCGCTGGGATGATTCTTGAAGCACCAATGTCGAGTACCAAGGACATGCTGATCAGTCTGTATCCGCAAAAGTGGCTGCCGTATCGGTACCTGTGGCCCTTTCTGTGGAACAATTGGAGCAGTGCGGTCGCGCTGGAGCGGATGGCGCGGTGGGCTCGTGATCGGCGAGGGCACGAGTACGAGCATGAGGTTCCGCCGATTCTGCTGCTTTCCGCTGAGAAGGACGAAGTTATCCCGGCATATGCAGCTCCAGAGCTGGAGCAAGAAGGCAAGAGACTAGGACTGAAGGTGGACAGATTGGATGTCTCCGGGGCCATGCACACGGAGATACCGGTCAAAGCGGCCGGGAGACAGGCCATGATGGATTTTATAAAGAAATGTACCGTTTCGTAGAGAGGGAAGAGGTAGACAATTAATTTTTGATTCTTCATATTGCCTATAGCAAGTTAAAGGATACCTCCCGTTTACTAGTCACTGCATAACCCGTAATAACCGAGATCTCTAATATACCTAGCACTGAAGCTCTCTGTGAACCCTTCAATGTCCCTATCTATTAGATAAACACGTCAGAACCAAAGTAATATTAATAACATAGGGCAGACTATCCGGCAGCCCCCATCTACTCATTCAGGAGAAGAAACAGAATTGAGCAAATGCAGCCGCTGCCGGAGGTTAGCTTGCAATGTCCTCGCCTCCAGCATTGCCGCCCGCGCGATGGTCATCACACAGGATCCCGGGCCAGCATCCGGCTCCCAAGGCCAGGATTGCTCTCCCCGACCCGCAGCAGGCATACTCAACGCGAGACGTCGGAGCGCGGCCTCAAGATTACCCAGCAGCTGCGAACTCACACAGGCGAGTAGCGCCATGGAGGATGTCATGGGGGTGGAGAAACAACCGATCTGGAAGCGCAATGGTTGCATCCCATTCCCATTCCCATTTCCTGCTGGAGACGCGGGGGCGATTGCGACTGCGGACGGGCTGGACAGGGCTGCGTTGTAGAGGTGGAGGAGGCGAAGGTAGCAGGAGAGGATGAGCAGGGAGGTAGCCCCGTCCGGTGAGGATCGATAGGCCACATGGAAGGGGTAGTCGAAGTCTGCGCGTGGGCAGGGGGGTTTGGGATGCTGAAGTTTATTATTACCAGGGTCATTATGGGTAGGAACAGGGGAGAGAATGTCTGCCAGGGATTGGGTGACGGCAAGGATCTGGTCGATGGTGATGGTTGGGGGCGGATCCACCACGGAGTCCGATTGCGCTCCGGCAGTGGCAGTTGCCGTTGCTGCTGCCAGTTGGCAGGAATACTCGTTCAGCGTCATGCTCAGCTCGGACAGCCGGTAGAAGTTGACATCGGATGCTACCAGCAGGGACGATGTCGACGTCGAGACGGATGATGACGACGAAGATGAAGATGAAGATAAAGAGAATGTCGTTATGGCGGCGGTTGGCTGGAAGGTTTCTCCATGCGCCAAGGAGGAAGAGGGGGTTTTGGGGGCGGAAGAATGGGGCTGCATGGGCAGATGGAGCCAGTCAGGCGCCATATACAGGGAGCCACTGTTCAACGGAGATTTGCAACCGAACGACAGGAGAGGCTCATCCGGACTAGGGTCGGGAAACGGAGAGAGTGAGACTATGGCCCCAGCTGCAGTGAGTACCTAGCCGACAATCCGTTCCGCGTTTAACCTCGTGGAATACATACCCTGGTCATCGTTACTGCTGGCCATTGGACACTCGGATGCAACCACATCGAACAGTCCATCTAGCTCCGACAGATATCCTCTCGGCGGATCGTTCGCTGACTGGTCATCCTGCTGTCGAGGAGACTTGGCAGAGGAAGAGACTTCACCGCTCTTGGACGGAGACGGCGGCTTGCTGCGAGACTTGCGACGAGTGCTGGGTCTCCCCGGCCGTAGAGGAGGCTCGAAAATGCATTCGACTTGGGCATTCTCGCAGCGTGCGCAGGGCTGGCCAGGAACGAGACTGCGGTGGCATCGCAGCTTCTGCTGGTGGCATCGATTGCAGGCCAAGCGGGTGACAGGTTGAGCAGATCGGGTGGAGGAAGCGTTCATGGTGCTTGTGCCTCGAGTGTATCCTGAACTGGCTGGGTGAACAGGCAATGGTCTTTCTCCTGCTATATGTACGTGGTAGTTATATACACTGACCCACGATGGATCTACATCATTCTAGATATTGAATACATGGTCGATATGCGGCCTCATTAGGCAACTTACATGCTCGGCAGTGTGTGGTCTGCATTCCTTCCAAGGCAGCTGTTTCTTCTCCCATCAGCCAACAACTGCAGATCGGTGATCCTTCGAGGTGGACAATGTAACTTCCATAGAGCAACATGTAAAGACTTACTTGCCTAATTGGCCGGCGTGAGGGCCTCAGGAGGGTAATGGATTTTCCATGCAATTCCATGGTTTGAAACAGAAAGCCTAGACTGCAGGAGCTGTTCACGAAGATTGGGAAGCTGGGAATCGCTTAGTGATTTGTTTTCCCCCATTCCGTTTGATTGGTGCTGTGGATTCTTCGGACACCAGATCAGCCCATGTACTAAGGCTAGACTTTGGGGGCGGAAACAGCGCACCTGGGAATGAGATACAACTAAGATGCCCTAAACCTAGATTGGTAGATTTGAGTCAATTATTGCTGAAGGTGAAGTAGAAGTGAAGCCGTAAGTCAGAATTGGGAAGAGGATTCGAGAATCAGGCCTAGAGTCGAGCTCTGAATTGACCAGATCCAGAGAACATGACACGGCGAGCTTAGGCGCAGACCAGTTTTCTCAAGATGGTAAAGACCTGAGATAGCTCGATCTAATTATTATACTAGTGCTTCATAGTTAAGTTGATTCTAGAGACGGCATAGTATCCGTCAACGCTAGACAGCAGTATCCACATGCCAATACACAACATGACAACACATCAAAAATTAATCCATTCACTCACACAGTGCTACCGAGATAACGACGGCAGCAAATGATGATCCTTCTCTGTCAATGTTGCCGTCACCAGGCTCTCCATGGCCGCCGAAAGCCCAGCCGTACGGGCGGCATCGAGCCACGAGTCCACGTCCATCGCACGAAGCGTAACGCCATGCTTTCTCTCCAGATAGCTGCCAATATTACCGACCGGGATCTTTTCCGCACCGCAGTGGTGCACATATCGCGGCGGAGCCAGTCCCTGCTCTGGGGCATCGACACTGCGGACCATCTCCCCACACACCCCGATCGCGACATCCCCCACAGGTACAAAGTCAAATGCTCCAGACCAGTTATCCAAAGCCGGAACGCCCTGAACTCGAACCGAGAACTCAAGGATAGAGTGGATCAGATCGGTTGAGGGAACACCATCGCCTACGATGTTGGACGGTCGGTGGATGATACACGGCAGCTGGAACTGTGCCGCGCACGATTCCAGATAGGCCTCGCTGGCCCATTTCGAGGCAATGTAGCCCATGGAGCCGTCTGCTGGAGGCACGAAACGCATGACCGATTGCGGTGCGAGGGTTTCGACCTCAGCCAGCTGGGCCACTCCTCCCGTGGAGACAAAATGCAGCGGGATGCGGCGGCGCAGGGCCAGGCAGGCCAACTCGCGTGTCGACTGGACATTGGCCTTGCGCAGTGAATGATAAGACTTTAGGAACGACACATCCGCCCCGTTGTGGATGATGACGTCCACCTGTTCCCCCAAGGCGTCCCATGTATCCGGGTCGAGACCCAGACGAGGCGCCGTCAGATCGCCCGCATAGACCACGATCTTGTCGGAGGCAACGGCTAAGGACCGCGGGCGAGTTGGATCCGAGGAGCGAACGGCGACACAATGGATACGGGACACGCGAGGATCGGCGACCAAGTGGCGAAGAAGGGCGGAGCCCAAGAACCCGGTGGATCCTGTCAGACATACTTCGATCTTCCCGTCGCTGGGACGGAGCCGAGCCGGTGAGACAGACTCGGCTGCCTGTCGCTCCGGTTCGCCTGGTGTTGTCTCCGATTCCCAGTCGATCAGAGCGGTGGAGTGGGCGAGCTCCTCCGGAGCGAAGCGAGCGGCCATTCCTTGCACGGTGCTCGACTGGAACAGCTCATGCAGTGCAACCTGATGACCCAAGGCCTCAGACAGTAGCGCTTGCACACGGACCATCAGGAGCGAGTTGCCGCCCAGCTGGAAGAAATCCGCGGCGGGGCTCCATGAGCTAGGCAGACTAGATGAATCGAGACATCGCTTCCACACGCAAATTACAGCCTCCTGTGCGGCAGTGAGCTTCTGCGAATGAGCGTCGATGGACGGCGAAGGCAGCGGCAGTTGGTCCAACGCGCGTCTGTCCAGCTTGCCATTGGGATTCCGCGGCAGATGATCGACAGCGAGAATCAGCCGGGGAATCATGTACGGAGGCAGAGGGAGAGAGTGGACAAGTTGGTCAAGGAACGGCTGAGTCTCGCCAGCCCCATTGTTCTGCTGCGCAGGGACAGCAAAAGCCACCAGGAACCGTCGATCCCCGTCCTCATTGTGGATGCCGCGAACAGAGACGACAGCATCAGCCAGACGCCCCTCAGCCACGCGAAGGATGGTTTGCGCAATATCGTCCAGTTCCACCCGGAAGCCTCGCAGTTTTATCTGAATATCTCCGTTTATTCGGCCCAGATACATCAATTCTCCGGTCGGGAGCAACCGGCCCTTGTCTCCAGTCCGATACATGCGGCCGCATTGCTGCGGCATGCTAAACGGATCCGGCACGAATCGTTCACGGGTGAGCTCTTCCTTTTGTAGATAGCCCTGAGCCACCCCCGGCCCGCCGATGACAATTTCCCCTACGTATCCGACAGGCAGAGGACGTCCCTTGTCGTCCATGATGTAGGTCGCGTAGTTTGGCAGCGAGGGTCCCACACTGACCCGCGATAGCTGGAGAACGGCGGGATCACACGTATCGATAGATAGACAACTACTAGACACCGTAATTTCCGTGGGGCCATACCTGTTAATAAGCCGGAGGCCCGGACGCTGAAGAGCATAAAAGGACCTGATCAAATGCGGAGGGAGCGCTTCTCCCCCGACGAAGGCGAATCGCCAGGACGAGCTCTGCCGTAACAAATCCCCGCCGTACCGGAGCAGAGCCACGTACTCGGACGGGGTGGCGTAGGTGTAAGTGACATGCTCTCGCACCATCAACCGGGCCAGTTCCACGGCATCACCACGTAGATGGCGAGGAGCCACCACCAGGGTGCCTCCGCCGACGAGTGGCTGCAGCATCTGGTCCAGGGAGACATCGAACCCGAGCGAGCTTTGCTGTAGGACCGTCTCGCGTCCCACGGAGAACTGTTGCCGAACGCCCATGATCTGGTTGACAAAGCTGCCATGGGTCAGGACAATCCCCTTGGGCACCCCTGTCGAGCCACTAGTGTACAAGACGCAGGCGGGAGCGGAGGACTCGGATCGGTCAGGAACGGGGGGAATTGCCGAAGCAGTGAAAGCGGAGAAGGTGATGGGCTTGGTGGCAGACAGGTGGAACTCGCGGACTGTCGGTTCGGTTGCTTCGTGGTAGATAAGGACCTTCGGTTGGCAATCGTCTAGAATCAGTTGCAAGCGGGCTGCCGGGTTCTGAGGATCCAATGGAACGTAGACGGCATTCAGACGCCAGATGGCGAGCAAATAGCAGACAGAGTGGATGGTAGGCTCGCAGAAGACCGCGACATAGTCCTTTGGACGCACTCCGCTGGCCTCCAGCGTGGCTGCAATGAATTGAATCTGGCTGTGCATCTGTCCGTAGGTGAGGGAATGACCCTCGTAATCCCTGACGGCCGTTTTGACTGGCTGAATGGCAACGGTTTCGTCGATTCGGCGACAAAGAGTCACGACTTCACTCAAGTCCAGTCGAGGTCCCCTTCCCAGGTCCAGTGCGGCGCTCACCCTTCCTTCATGGTAGAGAGTATGCTTACCGAGAGGCCAGCTGGGGTTGATGGCGCACGATGTCAGTAGGCAGACGTAGGCATCCAGCAACATGCCCAGATCTTCTTGGCTGTAGAGGTAGGACTGCGACTGGAGGCCAACGAGCGTGGTCCCGTCATCTTGCTCCTCGATATCGAAAACCAGATCATATGGATTGCGGGCGTCTTGGAACTGCAGCAACTCCGCATCCAGTCCGTCTGTTTTGACCCTGCCGGCAGATCCCATCTTGTAGTTCATGAGAATCTGGAAGAGTGGACTTTCCGTGGTCGACCGGGGAACTGCCAGCGCATCCAAAATGACATCGAACGGGACCTGGGAGTGCTGTAGAGCTCGATAGGTGACGTCGCGCGTATTCTGCAGCAGCCCTTTTACGGACTCGTGCTGCCCAATCTCAAAGCGGAGGGGAAGAAGATTCACAAAAAATCCGATTGTCTCGAGAAAATCAGGGTCTGTACGGTTGGCGTCCGTGATTCCGATGCAGACCTCAGTCAGCTCCAAAAGGCGAGCGAGAAGAAGCTGCAGAATGACCAGATGGCCGTGGAAAGGGGTCGCGTGGAACTGTCGCACCATCTCTTTGAAGGTGTGCACAGTCGACGTCGGGATCGAACGCTGGACTCCATGCGTAGTATAATCGGTCAAGGTTCGCCGGGTCGTGACCTGACAGAAATCGAATAGAGGCACAGGATCTGGCAGCGTAGCAAACGCCTGCTTCCAATACCCAATATCGTCTGTCATCTCGTTCTGTACTCGGGCCCGTTGGCGGCGGGCGAAATCAGTGTACTGATGAAGCAGAGGAGGGAGACGGTGACCAGACAATGCAGCGGCCATATCCTTGATAAAGACCTGACCACTGAACCCGTCGAAAACGATGTGATGAAAGCCCAATAGAAGAGTATGGCTGACTGGCCCATGTGATAACAACACTGCAGCCATGGATTCTCCGTGTTCAAGATCATAAGCGTGCTGGCAGAGTCTCTGGAATTCCTGCTCAATCTCTCCCTCTCCCGTGCAAATTTCCCTTTGAGACAATCGGAACGGAGACTGGCGCAAAACGGCCTGGTACGGGAGGCCAGACTCTGGGTTCTCGCGGTATGCGGACCGCAAAACGTCATGGCGGTTAACTACAG